TCTCTCTCTCTCTCTCTCTCTCTCTCTCTCTCTCTCTCTCTCTCTCTCTCTCTCTCTCTCAGAGTGGTGAGCAGGCATTTCGGCATCATAACGGCAACAGCAACAACTGTTGCCGTTTCAATAAATGGCAGCATTTATCTGAAACGGCAACAGTTTTGCCGTGGCCTGGGCCTGGACCCACCGCCCTCCCCGCACTGCCCACTGCCCACAACATGTTATTCGTTAAAACACTACATTATTGTGTGTACTATTTTGAAACGAATTTATGACATTGTGTATAGTCTGCTGTAGTATTCCTGATCCGGATACATCCGAACAAGGAGTAAAGCAACTTTGAGGCGAGGAGCACAGTCGGTACATATAGTTGCTCTCCTCTCGTGGTTCTGATGTGTCCAGATGTGGAACACCACAGCAGAGTATACACTGTGTTATACGCCTTTGAGTCAGTACATATATCTGCTACCACTGTGTTATAATATGTACTGCTGCCTCAGTACATATATCTCCTGTGTCCAGATGTGGAACACCAGAATAGAGTAATATATACCACTGTGTCCTAGTTTCACTTGGAGTTGAGCATCCCACTCATCCGAATCAGAACAGTATAATGACACAAACTCGAGTTTGTGAGTAAGACGAGTTGTGGCTCTTCACAAACTTAGAGGAGTAGGATGACCTATATTTAGAAGTGTGAGGACCAGAATGAATTGGAGTTCTGCACCGATGATCGTGTACATGTATAGAGCGAGAGAGAGAGAGACAGAAAGAGCGAGAGACAGAGAGTCTTAGAGAGACTGTACTTAATTTTCAGGAGACGCAGGGTCGAGCACACGCGTAGACCATCAGCCTCGTTTTTTTAAGCATTTCAGACGATCGCTGTAGGAGAGCAGCAAGGTAATGTGAATTTCCAAGATAAGCAAACCTCGGATGTATCCGAGATCACAAGAGATAGACACACATAGGAATTCCGCAAGAAATGGTCGTGGACATTTGAAGAGCGAGAGATATAGAAAATCAGAGAGAGAGACAGAAAGAGCGAGAGACAGAGTGTCTCAGAGAGACTATACTTAATTTTCTCGATACGCCGCACGGACGGCGCAGAGTCGAGCACACGCGGAGATCATCAGCCTCGCTTTTAAAAGCATTTCAGACGATCGTTGCAGAAGAGCAGCAAGGCATTGCGATTTTCCCAGATAAGCGAAGTTCGGACATATCTGAGATCACAGGAGATTGACAGAGAGGAAACCCGCAAGAAATGGCATATTAGCACGCCAGAGGGCTGAGAGATGGAAAAGACAAGCACCGTATACCATCGCCGCGCGCGTCTTTTTCAAGCGCGCGGCGTTTTTAGTGCCCGGCCGCGGCCAAACACGGACGAACACAGCCGAACGAGGCCGGTCACGGCTGAACGCGGCCGAACGAGGCCGATCACGGCCGACGGCGGCCGGGCAGAGCTGCCCGCCTCGGAGGACCGGTTGCGGGCGGCCGGCCATGGTGCTGGTGGACCATAGCCTAGCGCGACATCAACGGGACACAGCGGGGGCGTCGGGGTGCGGTGACATCGAGGGGACGCTACATCAACGGTGCGGCACGGTCAGACGACATCGAAGATCGAGGTCACGACTTGTTGGATCCTGGTGGGGGGGCGATGACGGGGGGTGCAGGGAGCAGCGGTGCGGGGGGGTCTGGGGGTGCCCAATTTGACCCGCTGTCCGAGAAGGAGATGGCGAAGTTGAGGCGAGAGAGCATTGTTTGGAACTACATCACCGCGGGCCAGTACGTCGGGGACCAATCGAAGATGCATGGGGACCGAAAGTTGCGTTGCAACTTATGCGGCCACCTATTTCAGGGGGGGTCGTCGAAGGCCGCGCGTCATTTTACGCAGTCAAAGTTCTGCAAGGCTGGGGGGATGAGAGTTCTCGCGGAACTCTGGAACGGCACGGACTACACATTTGTGCCGTCCACTGCTCAGCGGGTGCAGAGGTGGATGGCGGACGAGGGCATACGGGACACGAGAGCACCCGCGGGTGGCAAGAGACAGCGGATGCACGACGCAGGGGAGGAGGTGGTGATGACGTCGAGAGGCGTTGGTGGAGCGGGTCCTGCTACTAGGGCGCCGCGAGGTGAGGTCGAGCACGCGGCGAGGGAGAAGTGGACAGTGGGGCAGGCTGGCGTCGAGGTGCCAGACACGGGCAGGGAGAAGAGGGCTCGGCCGACCACGATTGTCGAGATGTACGCCAGGGAGAAGTTGGCCGAGTTCCATGACGCGTGGCTTCAGTGGATCTACGTGAAGAAGTTGCCATTCAACGCCTTCCGTGGTCCGGAGTTCCAGAGGGTGCGGCAGGCAGTAGAGAGAGTGCCTCGCTCTATCCAGTTCCGGTTTCCCTCCTTCAGGGTTACAGCGGGGGCCAGTATCCCTTCGCAGAGGGCGAAGGTGGTGACGATGGTAAGCGAGGTGCGCGCCACTTTCCGGCACAGCGGTGCCACTATCCTTTTCGACGGGAGGAAGTCGCGCAGCGGCAAGCCGTTCGTGAACTTCCTGGTCGGGGGCGCCAATGGCACCCTGCTGTACGCCACCGTCGCACGTGATGGGTCGGTCCGAGACATAGCGGATGTCGTGTATCGTAGGTGGCGGGCCATCATCTTGTCCTTTCCTGCAAAGAACGTGATTGGCTTCTGCACAGACTCCGCCAGTAACTATACGGCAGCAGTGCGCAGGTTCGCCACAGACCCCGAGCCTGACATCAGGAGGATCACTTGGCTCCCCTGCTCCACCCATGTCTGCAACTTGATGTTGTCAGATATCGGAACGCGAGTGGTGTGGGTCAAGGAGACCGTCATCCGCGCTCGAGCGCTTATGCGATTTATTAAATCGCACGGCACTGCTCACGCCCTGTTTAGGAAGGTGAGCCCTCGCGTTCAGCTCGTCGAGCCCGTTGAGACACGGTTTGCATCGGTTTTCCTGATGCAGACGTGTCTCAAAGGCCGACGAGACGCGTTGGAGAGCATGTTGCGCGGGGATGCTTGGGCACGCATCCCATGGGATCGCGCCCACATATCTCAGGCGCAGTGGGTGCAGCAGCAGATCCGGGACGGGGAGTTTTGGCAGCGTGTCCATTACGCCATCCTAGTCATGTCGCCCGTCCACCAGCTGTTGCGCAGGATGGATAGCGGTGGGATGATGATGTCCGTCGTTTACGAGTGGAGTCAGCATCTGCTGCAGTTGATGAGGAGGGTCGATGTGTCGACGGACATGATCGAGTCGTGCGTGCGTGAGGTTGCCATCCGCAACCTCCACATGCTAAAGCCCGCACATGCCGCGGCCCACCTCCTCAACCCTCGCCGACGGTCCCTCACGTATTACCATTCGCTGCAGACGACCGCCGACGACCGCCTTGTGGTCGAGGAGTGCGACAGATTTCTCCTGGCGCAGACCGGCGGCGATCCGGTCGGGTTATTGTACAGGACCGTGAGGGACCCGATGAGGGCGTTCCACTCGAGGCGAGGGGATTGGGGAGATCGTGAGCTCTCCAATGCCGAGGCGGTAACTCAAAAATCGACCCCAAGGACCAGGGGAATTGTTGCCCGATTTTGTCGATCGGTTTCAAACCACGTTGGACAAATCCGGGCGGGATGAGAAATCCGCTTGAGATTTGTTCATCGACCACCTACGAAGTTCGACACTGAAAGGGAAATTACAGAAAAAGGTTCCGCCGAAAACACACCAGTTATCGGCCATCATCACTAAAGCATTAGAGCTGGACCTGGCTGATACAAAAAAATATATCAGTCAGGGAGACGAAGATATTACAGATACCATACGGGATTGTAACGGTCAAAAGACGATCATGGTTGAAGGCGGTCGAACGGTTTGATCCACCCCCCGACCATGACCTTCCAGGTGGGAACGTTTCCGACATCCCGACTGCTTCCCCTCCCGCTCCCCCGGTGAATCAATCGATCGCAACCGTTAGAAGTGGAATCTCATCCGAACCACCCTCGTCGCCCGTAACCAATCTACACCTTGCCCAGATGATCCATACGACCACTACCAAGCAGTCCAAATGGATGAGCAACCTGATCCAAATGCAGGCCGCTCATATGGAACGAATGGAACAAATAATGAGCCGACTCATTAAGCCTAACCCGGCGCCTGCTCAGCCCGCCCCTGCATCGTTTCCACTCTTACCTGCCCCACGTGCTCCAGGGTTTGCGCCCCTGTTCCCTCATCCAGCAGGGAAGATCGAATGCTTTAACTACAAACAGCGCGGGCATTTTGCCCGGGATTGCCCGCATCCGAAACGAAATCAGCCTCCCCCTGCTGCGGCCCCCGTCGCCGAAATTCTAGTAGCTTTTAGTTTTGTGGGTTTTGTTTTATTTAGTCAAAAAACTTTTGGGGAAACTTTCCTTAATCAAGGACGAGTGACCGCTTTGATGGATACGGATCAAGGAAGAGAACTCGTGGCATATGCCCCCGAGCAGCCTTCCCCTTCGACGACACTAGCGTCGACATCAGAAGCTTCCTCCTCTGACGTTACTGACATAGTCGATCCACTCGAATACCTTCATCTTGCAGGCATGATCAGAGCAATCCGATCGGTCCCGGATGATCTCGAGTGGGTCGATCGCGAATCCAATCTTGGACCATAGTTTCGGACAGGAGACATTGATGTACTAAAAATGCTCAAGCAACTAGATATTCGCGTGCCCATCCCAGTGGGACATCTGCTCACCATATCTGAAGTGGCGAACGATAAGCTTCTACAACATTGCCAGAAAAATCAAAAGCGTTTCACCTATCAACGCATACAACGGATGTTGAAGAAGAAGGAAGAAAGCGAGGAAGTTGCACCCCCTGAGCCTGACACGAAAGAGCCGGAACCAGAAGCCGCACGCATAGCAGCGATCTCTTTAGCAAAAAAAGATCACTTCGTACGAGCTCGGCTGGTATTGTGGAAAAGTGCGGAATGTGACTGTGAAGTTTGGGGCAAGCCGTTTAATGCCCTTATTGACACAGGGTCTTCTGCCGTGGCCATATCATTGGATACTGTCAAAAAGACGGGACGACTGGGATCCATTCTTCCTCAATCTGGCAAAGACAATTATGTCTCTGCCGACGAGGAGGCAATGAACATCGTAGGCATTATCGAGAACGTGGCTGTAAAAGTCGGGCGAGTACACGTCCTTGCTAACGCGCTCGTAATAGATGTACGTTCCTATTCTGTGTTATTGGGATTACCTTGGGCGATGGCGATAGGCGCACGGCTGCATTTCGATTCAAGACAATTGGTACTCACGCAAACAGGGGAAAAACCTCAAACTGTCCCTTTTGCGAGTTTCCACCCGAGCGATAAAACGGGTCCCTAACTCGGCCCAAATTGGGATGATTCGATGGATTGACCGCGAGGAGTGCTCTTTCTCGGACATCAGTGATGGAATCAGGGAACAGGAATACGAAGAAGAGCTTCCCAGCGAAGATGAATGGAAGCACCTGGTTGAACTTTTCGAACACAAAATTCACGAGGAATTCCAAGTGTGCCCCGACCCTGCTCGAAATTTCCAGGTGGATCCCAGGGACAGCACGCTTACGCCTCCGATAACTCAAGTTAGTCCTTCAGTCCTTCTCGGGGAACCCATATTGCAAGTTTTCGATCTGGCTGATGATTTGGAACCCCCTCGCACCTTGTACGAGGGAGCTCTCTCCTTACGAATGCGTTATCAGCAAACGAAACAGTATTTAGACGTTTCTGTTTTTCCACCCCGATCGTTACTAACGACAGGAGCCACCATCGCCTTGATTAAACAAGAGGCGGAAGCACCGGTAAGTGATGTACYTAATCTGAYGCAAGAAATGACRGATCTAACAGGGCTAACTRTGGAACYGACCTCGGTTGGTTCAGAAACTRACGCTGAAACTAAAGAAACAGAGATGATCAGCCCTGCTGAGTCCCAGATGATAGCAACTGTCTTCTCTGTTCGCACCAGTAGTTCCGTTTTTTCTAGTGTCCGTAATCGACGGGAACGGCCGGTTGATTGGATCGATATGCCCCTTAAGATTTCCGGGGATCAACAATCACCTTGCCAGGTCACGTTCCTGCGGAACTTCGGAAATCGTTAATTTGTGTGTTAAATGGCTACGAAGAAGTATTGAGCATACACGATAACGACATCGGTTTAACTAATGTGATCGAGCATGCCATTCTCACGGGAGATCATCCACCCATTAGCTGCACTCCCTCCCGATACTCGCGAGCTCAAAGAGTTGCCGCTTTTCAGCGGAAAAACGAGTTCGAAGCTAATGGATGGATCGATCCTGCTGTAGGTCCATGGTCTTTCCCTGTAGTGATCGTACTTCAAAAGGCTGGAGGGATTCGCAATTTGCATTGATTATCGAAAGTTGAATGATATCATGATCAAAGATGTGTATCCCCTCCCCCGGATTGATGAGTTGTTGGATGCGATTGGGAGTGCTCGATTTTTTAGCAAGTTTGATGTTCGCCATGGGTTCCACCATCTTCTTGTTCGTGAGGAAGATCGTCTGAAAACAGCGTTCATGCTTTTCAAAGGTACATGGCAGTGGATTCGATGTCCGATGGGTATCTGCAATGCCCCTGCGACCTTTTAGCGGGCCATGAACATGGCTTTCCATAATTTCGTGAGGAAGACTCGTTTGGCGCAGAGCATCATCAACTACTGCGTGATTGTGTACATGGATGACATTCTGGTGTATTCGAGTTCCTACGGGGGATACGTGCAGCACATCGAATGGGCACTGCATGCATTACGAGATGCAGGTTTCAAAGTGGCACTTGAGAAGTGTCAGTTTTTCCTCACCACCATTTCCTTCCTAAGGCACGTGGTGACAGACAAGGGACTCCAACCGGAACCGCAGAAAGTGGCAGTTGTCAGGGACGCGCCGGTGCCTACGACTATCATGCAAGTTCGCGCCTTTCTGGGCCTAGCCTCGTACTACCGAAGATTTATCAAGAGCTTCGCGGCGATTGCGGGACCCCTCACAAATCTGCTGCGCAAGGATCAGTCGTTGATCTGGACGCCGGAATGCGATCAAGCGTTTTCCGCACTCAAGGCCGCTCTCATTTCGGCTCCGGTCCTTATAAGACCGGATCCCGAAAAACCTTTTGTTCTCATCACTGACTGGCAGCCAGAGGCAATTTCGACGATCCTTGCCCAGGAGGGACCAAGCGGACTCGAGAGTGTGGTGGAGTATGCGTCCAAATCAGTGCACGCCCGCAAGCGTAACTACGCCGCTCCAACGGGTGAATGCTATGCGGCTCTCTAGGGAATCAGTCACTTTCGTGCTTACCTGTACGGACGGAGATTCACCCTGGTGACTGATCATGAGCCCCTGTTGGCTCTGAAGAAGTCGAAGGATTACTCGGGCATGATCGGGTGATGGGCAACGGTGCTGCAGAGCATGGACTTTGACATTCGTCATCGGAAGCACGAGAGACACGGGAATGCAGACGGACTGACACGACTGCACCGGCCTGAGAAAGTTCTGAAGAATGAGGAGGTGATTCTGTGGAACGAACCTAAACAGGAGGTTGGACCCCGGTACGGCCAAGTGGAGATTTTGTCGAAGCAGTAAGTGGCACGAGGACTAATTTGTTTGTTCCACTCCCTCCACAAGTCAGTCCCATCTCTCCCCCTCTGTCATCATGACTACTCCACTCGCCTGCGCAACCCCTTCATCTCCTACTAATTCTGCCCCTCTCACGTCCTCCGCTTTCTTCGCCACCCTCCCCGATAAGTTCTGCTATTTTTGCACGTGTATTGCACGAGTTTATGGGGCCGACTGTCATCCCTTCGAGACCGGATTTGTCGATTGGGTAGAATGTGCCACGTGTGTCAACCGTGCGCACGGGGCCTGCGTTCGATATCGGACGAGTAGCCAGGAATGGAGGTGCCCCCTGTGTAGAACGAACAAGCTCCCCACATACCGACGAGCGGAGGTTTGGATGGACAAAATTTTATTAGCAAAATTAGCAGGATTATCATTGGGCCACCTCACCAAACACGACAGACAAAGGGCAACCGAGAGATCTCGGGACTATCGATGGATCAACGGTCGTTTCGAAAAGCGTAAAACTGACGGATCAGGTTCGTGGTTGACGGTTCCCCATCCCTTCCAGAGATATGATTGGATCCGATCCGCTCATGAAGAACAGGCCGCTCATTTTGCAATACGTGTCACAGAGGCAACTGCATCGGTTCTGGTCTAATATACGAGATGACGTCAAGTACATTGTCGCTAACTGTCTGGTCTGTGCCGCTGATCGCGCCCCTATACGGGGACCAAACACGATCGTACCAACGGAAGTAGAGCGTCATTTCCAGCGAGTCAGTATGGACACGACATATATTGACGTGCCACCTGGCCCAAACCGCTGTGAGTATTCTATCCTGTTAGTTTTAATTGACCATTTTTCCAAATACATCGAAGTCTATCCCTGTAAGACCCAAAAGGCCGCAGAAATTGCCACGTACATCGAACGATTCCTCTATACCCACCTAGATACGGAAGAAATTCTAACTGACAATGGATCGGAATTCAAAGGTGAGGTAGAAGAACTGCTTGCGCGAAGGGGCGTCACGCTCCGACATATGGCACCCCACGTGTCCCAGTCGAACGGGTTGGCCGAGAATGCCAACCGTATGATTAAAACCGCCCTTCGCAGCAACTTAGCGGCACACGACACGCGTCCTTGGCCCGAGATCGTATATCAGATCGTCCGAATCCACCGGGCCACCCCTCATGAGTCTACGGGGTTTACCCCCTTTCAGCTTCGAACCAATAGCCTCCCCTGTATCGATTACCGAGGTAACTCGGAAATTTCCGAAGCAGGGGGTAGAGACACGCGTGCACCTCTCAAGGCCAAGGCCAAAAGGTACACCGAATTAATGGAACGGGCCGTCCCGAAGCTAGCCCGAAAAAGGCAAAGGATGACCGAACTGGCCCACGGTAGGCAGGTCCGTAGCTACGAGGCCCGGAATGGAAATGCTGGGCCCAGTACCAATATAAATTAGGGGACCTAGTGCAGGTACGTAAATGTGCACGCGACCGGAAACTCGCTCCCAAGTTCTCTGGCTGTTTTCGCGTGGTTGAACCCGGACCCAACGGTGCCAACACAGTGCGCATCGCGCCTTAGGCTAGCGCCAGCCATAGCTCTGTCCCCATCGTTCGGCATACCTCCTACCTCCGTCTTCTTCCTCCTTCTGATCTTCCTCCCTCTTCCTCCTCGAAAAGCGAGGAGAACGACGACGATCTAACTCTCTCTCCTGTTTCTCCCTCCTGTCCTTCGTCCTCCTCTCCCACCTCGCCATGAGTTTTATTACGGAGCGGGTTCTTGACGCGCAGCTATTGCAGCCACGTGGCCACATCTCAGAGATTCGGCAAGTTTGTCACCCTTGGCTCAATGCGGATCTTCGACGTCTGATGCGATTCTTCTGCGACGAAGGTATCTGTGCCGCCGCCGCGTTTCGGATCAAAGGAAGTCCTCACGCAGTGGTATTCGTGGAGGTAACCGCAGTTCATCGGCGAGCGGGTCCCAGGACGAGCCACATCACCACGGTGGCGGCATTCACCGGCGACATCAGCTCGGTCAATCTGCTGTGGCATACCGCGATCTTGACCTCGCTACGCGCATGGACGGAGCAAGTGTCCAACGTGTGGCAGCACGTCCTCGATCGGCGAGGGTATAACGTCATTCCGATCTTTACAACGGATCTAGACAATATTGACCGATCACCGCACGAGCGGCCAGTTGCGATCCCAGCCCTCGTCCCCTTCCCACATCCCCAATGAACCACGCCGATCTCCTCGCGCCTCTCTCTATCTTTGCTCTCCCCTCTCTCTTCCCCACCTTCTGGCAATCCGGTCTTCACCCACCCCTTTCCTTCTCGTTCGAGCCTCTTCAGTCCCTCTTATCAATCCTGGACAGTGGCGGTTGTGGCGCGAAACGTTTGAGGAGCTGTCTTTTTGCCTGGCCAGAGTACATGTGACATGGACGGGCACTAGTGAGCATCCCACGTGGATCGAGAATCCGGAGCTGCTGATCATACAGGCTTGGAGGACTAACGTGGAAGGAGATCTTCTTGGCTTTCTCTTCGGATCGGTACGGCCGGATCGACGCCACCTGATTGCGCAGGAGCTTATCGCACCGATCGTGCAATTGGCAGACGATCTCTCGCCCGACATCTATTTTCTGAGTGACGACAGTCCTGCTCCGTACATTTTCGAGCGATCATTGGACCCGTACCTTCAGTGGACTGCGTGCTTGGAGGAACCTAGGGACGAGGATACACTACCATTGCGACAGGAGTACGTGAAGCCGTACGAGATCATCCCTCACGCCTTCTATCCGAGGGCAGAGGAAGTAGTGATCGGCGACGACAAAGAAGAAGACGAAGACGAAGAAACATCGGAGGAGGGAAGCTATAGTGAACAAAGCGAGGGCGAGCTGAGCGAAGGAGAAGAGGAGGAAGAGGAAACTGGATCTGAGTGGGAAGCCTTGCCGGAGGAAGCGACGCGTACAGGAACGGAGGCAGACGATCCAGAAGCGACGCGAAAGCACGAAGAAATTGCCACCGGGAAGCGCCAACTGGAGTTCGCCAGCCAAGCTAGCTTGCGCATCGGCAACGATCCAACCAGGGATCCAGAGCCGCCGAAGCCCAAAGATGGCGACCCTGCAGCCGCCACCTCAAGTACCGCGCGACGGAGACGGAGCCGATCCCCCTCCTCCCCCAGCCCCACCCGTCCCCCAGTTCGCCCACGTACCAATGCGGGCGATAGGCCTTCGTCCTCGAACGCTGTCCCGCCGACCCGTTGATTTCCTCACCCTCGAGCAGATCCGTACCCCCGTCACCTTCCCCTCTCATCCTTTCCACCCCCATCTCTTCCACGACTTCTACTCTACCCGTCTACTCGCCACCGTCCACCCCCACGCCTCCCTTCAATCTGCTACCCCCACGTTTTGCTGGCATGTCCTACTGTTCAGCGCTGAATGGGAGCGATGCAACATGGTAGAGGTTTACTGCGTCACCACGGGGACAATCCCCGCTTGCCGCCACTTCGAGATCTTTCGAGCGGCACTCTTCCGCACTTTTTCCTCCTTCTACCGCGACTACCTCGCTTCCCTCCCCCGCAGCGGCGATCATTTTCCCCACTTCCACCGGATCATCCGATATGAGGAGCTATGGGTGACGATGGAAGGGATGAATCGCTTCCTTCCCCCACTTCTTTCCCCGTCATCCCCGCGAGACCCCCTCCATGTACCGCCTCTAATGGCCTATTCCAACTAGGCGGTAGGCCCCAATCACATAACCCCCCCCCCCCCCCTCCTCTCCTCATCGGCACGAATCAGTAAGCTTCGCGAAGATCCCGCCATCGACGATGACGTCAACCTACGCTCTGATTTGACGGGCAGCAACGAGCTGGGGTGCAGAGCACACGGAGATCAGGCGGACCGTGATGGCGTCACTTGGACGATCTCTACAGGGCGGGGGGTTGCATATGACAGGGTCGCGGAGGTCTTGCCACGGATGTTGTCGCCATCTCATCCGCGGCTTTGTTACCACCCCTTGTACTTCTTTCTAGAAGCCTTGCTGATGTGTTTGGTTCCTCATGCATCACTCTGTTCTCCCCCTTTCTCTTTCCTCTTCCGCCATGACATGCAATCAGGAGATCGCATAATTTTGGAACCCCCTGCGCATCATATATTTGACGAACCACTTTCCGAACCCATGCTATCTTTCGTACCCCTGTTTATGTAACATATCAAACCCATTAAGAACCCCCTTTTCGGTTTCTTGTTTTTGGATGCTGCATTTCCTTTTTTTTCTGGAAGCTCTCTTCGATTTCCGGGTTCTGTTTTTTCCTTTTTGTAAGTCGGGAAATACATGGGAATTTACGTGCGCCTTAGCGAGCGCACAGGGAATTGGGTTCGACGGTTGGGAATTGCGGGATAAGCGAAACTTCGACGTGTCCTTTTCGTATGTGTGAATGTTCTTGGTCGCGTCGAGGAAAAACTCTCGGAAATTTGCGCGAATACGAATAGGCGTAGAATTTTCCTTTCCCGCGTCGCTTTTCCGCGCGCGGATATGGTGATTTCAATTTTGAATTAGGATAGAAGCAAGTTGTAACTGTTTCGGTGCCTTTTTCTCTCTTTTTGTTGACGGCACCGCCTATGTCGAACTTTCTCCTCTCTGACCCCCGCCTCGCTCCCTCCCGCGTCTCCCTTCCCTTCTCCCTCCTTTTTCTCTCTCCTCGTAATTGTTTTTCCTCTTTCTTTCTCTTTCTCTCCCGCCTTGCTTTTTGCGCGCCCATTTCGCTTTCTTGATCATCTGAATTTTGGACTCGTCTTGCGCTACTTCTCCCGCCTTTTCTCTTCTCCCCCTCTGAGTCTGGCGCACGACGCCCGGTTGATCCATCGATAACTCCCGTTCGCCAATCAGGTGTGCGGATCAATAGGACCTGCCTACTGCGCGGCGAATCTGATTGGTTGAACCTTGAGTTTCGAGGGATCAACATGGCGTTCATAGAGCACTCCTCTCAAAGTCTTCTCTTCCTGCTTCTCCTCGTACACCTCAGCCTTTCCGTCACCTTCTCCCCCTTCTATCTCCCCTGTCGCAACTATAAAACCCGCAAGCGCATCCGCAAATCTCTCTTACGTTCTCGATTCTCAAGCCAGCTTCCGGGAAGCAGTGGTTTGGCAGAGTGTTTGACGCGAGTCGGAAAGTCCTGTCGGGCTGACGATAGACTGGCCGGATGTGTGCTGGATCGCCACGACGGACTGTGGGATCTGGGTGAGCCGTGTCGAGTTTACGACAGCGGGGTGATGATCGCAGTGGTGGGAGTTAGCACGCGATGACCGGGATCGTCGGTGCGGGTATAAGGATCCATAATCGGAGTTGAGTTGATTGGCCCGGGGCCATATCGGAATTAACGGCGAATGCGCCTTTGTTACGGATTGTTATCTTTGGCGTGAGTGTACGGCAGCAACGCCGAACTTTTCTCTTTCCGGACCTTGTCATCTTCTATTTTGATTTTCTCTCCCTCGACTCTCTCTCTCTCTCTCTGTCTCTCTCTCTTTCTTTCTCTTCCTCTTTTTGAATGATGATGCGTCTGAATGATTGTCCCTCTTCTGAATGGGAATGAGTCTTCATCCCGTTTCTGTGTGAAAGAACTTCTTCCGGAACTCTTCCATTAGTTTCTTGGGTAATCCTCCTATGCAAGGACCCTGCCTTCTTGTCTTGTGAACAGTGGATGCACGTGTACTGTGCAATGCGATCTATCCTTTCGTGTGCATGTCTCATTTTCGCACCTTCCACAGTGGATGCATGCATGGAGACGTGTGACTCTTTTTTATTAGACGATGGTCGTCGCGATTTTGTCCGAGAATGCAAGAGTGTTTAGATCTGTAGCTCTGAGTGCATTGCGCATGCCATCTGCCTTATGCTGACGGCATTAGTAGCTGACCTACGAGGCGGCCTCAAGAAACAAGGCGCCAGGGATCAACATCGCACTGGCTAACTAAAGTTGAGCCGCGATCGGTCCCGTCAGCTGCATGCATGATTAAACTGACGAGTGTTTTTTCCCTTCTTTGCTAGGAAAGGATTGATTGAGGATTATTTCCTCTTCGTGATTGATATGTGGACTGACAAGTACCCTCCGATCGGGCGTCAGCCTCCCGTACCTCCCGTACCCACATGACCTTTTCCCTACAACGAGGAAAGGACACGTGTATGCAAGTGGGACGTACGAGAAGTTGTCGCACAGATCGGCGAGCGATACTACTTCCCCCTGGCAAACCGTTGTTCAGGGTTCTTAGAGGCTGGGTTTGTTATTATCGACACACACTTCCCACCCTACTCAATATTGCTCCCCTTAAACGAACTAATCGTTATCCCGTGGACGGCAGTGGTGCCCCATTGGCCTCGGACCCTGTGCACAGAGTGCCAGCGTTTCGATCGCTACGAAGCGAAAGGCTCCCACTACCGAATACGGAGTGAGGACGAGCACAAGGAGAGAGCCACGTGTCTGCGACCCTCCTCATCAGACTCAGAACTGACAAACGAACTACGGCGGGACTTGATCCGAAAACGAGACACGCGAAGCGTGCCGAAGCCCTTCCGCTCTAAACGACGGGCCGTAGCACAGTGGGAAGCCCGACAAGACTTCCTAGATTGAATTTGGATTTTGCTCTCTTCGAGCCTGGTCTCCGCGCGCATTCCGCGACGAGCGAAGACAATCTACTTGCTTCATCGGGCCAACACGGGGGATTTTAGTTCCGTCTACGTCCCCACACTCAATTTCCAAAATTCCTTGGCACACCCCATCTTGCTGTTTTTCTGGGCCTCTTTCCGCACAATTAACACTCCGAACCAAAGACAGCACGGGTCGTGAGGTTGCGCGTCACAAGGAAGCCATTCTATTTGGCCTGTATTTATGGCGATTCTTATTCGTTGGTTATTGTTTTATAAAGGATCGAAGGGTGCGTGGTGGGAAACCCGTCTAGGCAGTTCAGGCTTCCTTGACTTTGGCCAAAGTGGGATTTGCGATGGGACACAGGACCCGGTTTCCAGCAAAAGCCGAAGCTGGAGAATGGCCCTCGTACTTACCAGGTAGAATTGAAGCGTCCCAGGCCTTGAGTGGAATTTCATTGCACAATAATTAAAAAAGAAAATAGTACTAAGGCTTGGAATTTCATTGCATAATTAAAAATAAAAATAAAAAATCATTGCATAATTAAAAAAAAAAAAAAAAAGAAACGTCTAAGGCTAGAAGTGGCCATCTCTCTCAGAGTATAGTGGTCTTGAGTTTTGACGGTTTGCAGCATATGCCTATGTGGGAAACCTTCTGGGTTTGGGATGCTCTAAGCACTTCCGTATTAATACTGCTATTTATCTATTTAGGTACACTACATTTTCTATTCTTTTTTGCAGATGTAGGGCTCCAGGAACTCGAGGAGGAGTTGATTCGTTAGGAGAATCTCTGCAGCTCTCTGAGGAACAGCTTCCTCTCCCACCATCTGAGCAGCTGTTGCCGGTCTGTGTACTAGAGCATAAACAAAGCTATAGACCCTATTTCCTGAGAGCACCTGCTTATAGCCTGACAGTGGACCCTAGAGACTGGGCACGGGAGCATCCGTTGCATAATTCTGAGCAGGTGGGGATATCTGAGTACACAACGAAAGTGGGATACGTGATAATGACACCGCGTATAGACGTTAACTGGCTGGTAGCTAGACGATGGATGGCAACGGGATGGGTTAGGGACACGCTAACTAGGTTAGTGGCTGCCATCCCGGCATTTTGGAAGCGATTGATGGACTTGGTGGTAAGCAAGCACGCAAGCTTGGTCTGGCTGCTGATGCACTTGGCACTACCGACCAAAGCCTGGTGTGCTAGAAGGACAACAAAGGCCACACGGGAAATTCAATGTGGTTTGTGCCCAGGGACTCGGATGGAAGATATCCAGCACTTTGTATGGCATTGTGAACTCTCCAGACCCTTTTGGGATTGGTGGAGACAGTCGGGCGTTCCGCTCCCTGGTGTGGATTCACGTTGGGAGGATGAATTTATCCTCCTGGGCATAGCTGCCAGGAAAACGACCTCACAGACCCAATTTGCTCATGCGGAAGAGACCATCAGAGGAGCCATTCTATGGACTCTCGGGAACCTCAGAAATGCGAGGCTGAGAAAGAACGAGCATCTGACACCGCCGATGGTTAGAGCTGAAATCAAATACGCAATCAAACAGGCTATATCGGCAGATTAAGAATATCGCGTCCAGAAGAAAGGCTTTTCGACTAAGGCTGGCAAATGGTTTTGGGCACAGATGGGGAAACTTTTTCGGGATTGGTTACAGTGGATACAGCTCAGGATGGTACACTTCTCATACGGTTTTCCAACTTTTTTGTTTAGCTTCTAGTTGTTGTTCTGTTTCAACAGTCTGGTTTGGTTTACTAGTTGTTGTTTGGCTTCAAAAAGTTGAGTGTTGAGTCTGGTAGGTCAATGTTTTGTTTGAGATATTAGGAAGATGTTTTTGTTAGATTAGATTGTATAATAGTTAGAATAGGATAACCTTGATTTTCAAATGTTGGCTAGACTGAGTGATCTTGGATTGTGTGTGTGTGTGTGTGTTTTTTTTTTTTTTTTTTTTTTTTTTTTTAACAAAAAGCCCTTGTGGCATCCCTCAATCCCAGCGGTGGTATGAGATTGAGGGCTTGTCTGTCGGGCTGCTCCATCTATTGGTGGGGAGCGGCACCTGCTGAAAACCGGGTCCAGCGTCCCATCGATACATCTTGTGGCTCAGAGGCGGGGCTGCGGGGCTGTGGGTTTTTGTCTTGCGGGATGGGATTGGCCGGGAGTGCCTTACCCAGCCTGCAAGGCCGCAGTGTACATGTAAGGGACACGGGACCCGTTTTCCGGCAATAATACATTTCCTAGAAACTCCGGCCTCCTTTCATTTGATAATTCAAAGTATAATTTTATTCCCAAAAAAAAAGAGGAAAAAAAGGTGAAATTATGTATTGATAATTCTATACAATAATGTTAGAGGCCTCGTCACATCAGTCACGAAGAGAGGAGAATGGGAGTGCATTTTCCCAAAGAATTGTAAAGATTCATTTCATCAACGACTGCGAACAGTAACGGATGTATCTGGCCATCTCACGTGGGAAGATTTCCTTTTTTTTTTTTTTTAATTATTATTATTTTTTGGCAATTTTTTCTCATTTCGTGAGTGGTGTGGCGCGGACCATTGGCTCGTGGTAAGGAAAAAAAAATTAAAACATTAAAAAAAACCGTGGTGGAATGAGATGGAAACAAATGTGTTCAATTCCGAGTGTGTACTTCGACGTACAAAAGCAGAGAGATACACTCAGTTGCCATTTTTGTCCTTTTCACACATTCCCAGCAGCCGTACACCAAACTCTTTTTTTTTTTTTCTTTTGACCCTGTTATTTTTGAAATTATTGTTTTTCGCAGCTCTTTCCTGACGGCATACTCCCATTAGTAGGATTTTCCCCCTCCAGCTGTGCTCGTAATTAAGGCCAGATGCACCCACGCAAGCCCGTAATTAGAGCCAGGTCCATCGGCAACAGGCCTACTACTGGTAGGGGCGTAAGAAAGGCCTGAGCAAAGGGCATCACCACATCACTCTCGAAATGTGCAAAATGAGAATGTGAACTTCCCGCTAGAACATGGCCAGATGCACCCGCCACATTTTTGTCGTTGTCACATTTCGAGAACGCTGGACCCGCCGGTGCCGGCTTTTCTTTCAAAAAAAAAACAACAAAAAAAACGAAAAAAAACGAAAAAAAACAAAAAAAATTAACGTAGTGGTGTGGCGAGGCCCTCAGTCTGAGCGATCCATTATCATGACAACAAAATGGATTCCTTAGTGTTCTGCGCGCGAACCCACCTGCTGTAGCGGAGTAGAAAAGACTATATTCTTCAGAGATTCACCCTCGTCTTCACATCGCCGCCTTTCTCCTATCGTCTTCCCCTCCTCTCCCCGCCATATCCGAAGCAGTCGTCGTGCTCGCGCTCTCGGGGGCTCGCCGCCATCGCTACAGCCCGCCACTGCGCGACCGCGATTCGGCGCAAGCGACAATCAACACGAAGAAAATGACGCGCAAGTTTTTCGTTGGCGGCAACTGGAAGTGCAATGGAACCGTGGAGAGTGTTTCGAAGCTGGTGGATACGTTGAATGCGGGCGCGATTGTGTCGACTGACATCGTGGAGGTGGTGGTTGCTCCTCCCTTCATCCACCTCCCGCTGGTTAAGGATCAGCTGAGGAAGGAGATCCAGGTGTCCGCTCAGAACTGCTGGGTGAAAAAGGGCGGGGCGTACACGGGCGAGGTCAGCGCCGAGCAATTGCTCGACCTCGCCATTCCCTACGTCATCCTTGGACACTCGGAGAGGCGACATATAATGAAGGAAAGCCATGCCTTCGTTGGGCAGAAGTGCGCGTATGCGCTCAGCAAGGGGTTGAAGGTGATCGCGTGTATCGGAGAGACGCTGGGGGAGAGAGAGGCCGGCGAGACAATCAAGGTGTGCGCGGAGCAGTTGAACGCCATCAAGGAGGCCATCGGAGAGAACTGGAGCGACGTGGTCGTTGCGTACGAGCCCGTGTGGGCGATCGGCACGGGCAAGGTGGCGACGCCTGAGCAGGCGGAGGAGGTCCACGTGGGACTGCGGAACTGGCTGGCGGAGAACGTCAGCGCGGAAGTCGCGGAGGCAACGCGCATTCTGTACGGAGGATCTGTGACGGCAGGCAACTGCAAGGAGTTGGCCAAGAAGCCTAACGTCGATGGCTTCCTCGTTGGCGGTGCCGCGCTCAAGCCCGAGTTCATTGATATCATCAACTCCGCCCAGAGTAAGGTGGCAGCCTAGAGATAAATAGATAGATAGATAGGTAGATAGATGTGTGTACTAGAGAGAGTGAGAGAGAGAGAGAGAGAGAGAGAGAGAGAGAGAGAGAGAGAGGGGTGAAAAGTTCGTGTCCGGTGGATCTAGTTGAAAAGATTTCGGGGTTCATTTATAATCGAACGATTTTGGTTTCGGCTGAGAGAGAGAGAGAGAGAGAGAGAGAGGTGGCAGATTCATGTCCAGTGGATGTAGTTGGAAAGATTTCGGGGTTCATTTTTAGTCGAACGATTTTGGTTTCCGGCTTTCAAGAAGAAATTGGACTTTTCGTTTCCCCTTTCGATTTGTTCCCTCGTTGGAGGTTTGAGCACGGATGTGGCTGCTACGGGGTTCCCCGTAATACTATAATGACAATAAAAAAAGGCCTGAAAGGCCGTCCTGTCCAGATTTGACAGGTAATTGAGCTGGTTGGGCTTAAAGAATTAGCCTTTAGAAAAAAAAAAAAAAGGAATGTGTTTATATATATATCGTCACAAACAGATTATACATATGACGATATATATATATATATATATATATATATCGTCAAATATATATATATATATATATCTATTTGACGATATATATGTATATCGTCACAAACAGAACTGCCCGGTAAAAGAGGACAAACCTGTTTCGTCGGAGTCTCACCAACTCATCTATATCTACTTCGATTTTGGTTAAGGTAGATTATCATTTACAGTGTAATCAGTGAGGGCATTCTGCAGACTGTTGAGGGTTCAGCCTCCTGATGAGTCGGTGAAAGTCCGACGAAACAGTTTGTCACAGCCCCTCGTTTGTTGTCCTCTTCTCTCTCTTTGCCTACGGTTTACCGGGCAGTTCTGTTTGTGACGATATATATATCGTCAAATATATATATATATATGACATATATCGTCATATATATATATATCGTCACAAACAGAACTGCCCGGTTAGAGGCCTCGCTGCATTACTCTCGAAATGTGCAAAACGAGAGTGAATCTTCCTCTAGAATATGGAAAGATACACCGCCATGATTTCTGTCTTTCGTGCATGTCGAGAGTAGTGCAGCGAGGCCCTCGGGGGCGAAACGCCGCAAGACGAATTTTTTTTCAATTTCTTTTTCCCAAGCCGGGACGATGTGAACCGTACATTTTTTCTGCTCTTCGAACAAAACAATAGCACGACAACCCAAGAGCCTACCTAGCTCAGTGGGTACACCATTGAACTGTCAAAATTCAGACCCGCGTTCGAACCCATCCAAATGATGGAACTTGACGAGTAAAACCGAGTTTTTCTGAATTGTTTGGGGCCAGTCAGCTCAATGATAATATCTCAAGGCCGTCGCCCTTCGGAAAAAAAAAAAAAAAAAAAAGAATAGCACAACAATAGATCATGTCCGCCATCCTCTTTCTGCAGGGCATTCAACGAGACCGTGTAGTATATAACGCTGTCCGTCACCCTCCTATCAACGCTCGAACACACTTTTTTTCTTTTTTTTTTGAACGAAACAAATTTCCTCCTCCTTCCTCCTCAATATGAGCTAGCACACACTACGCCTGTGAGCTGGCATACACTACGCCTGTTCGACTCAACACAATTTTCACCCATTTTACTCATAGCTAGACAATTTTTTATTAACTTGACTGAATAGGCCCAATAGGGTTTCACATTCGTCCTCTGCCGCCAAAGGGGATACTCGATGCCGTAACTAGGTGAAGTTCTCCGCAACGCTATGGATCCCCATTTTCTTCCTACAGACAAAAATCTATCTATCATTTTCTTTTGCTGAAATCTATCTATAATTTATTCTCGATGGTTCCTAAGAAACTCCTATTTTTAGGCATTAGACTCTGACGTGGACAAACTCTCTTCCACCCATTCCTCGAATCTCGACGTTCTGTACAACTAAAACCCCTTAATCTCGACTCGTACCCTGAATCTCGACCTTCTATAGGGCTAAGTAACCCTAAATTTCGACGTTCTATAGGGGTAGTACCCCTAAATTTCGACATTCTATAGGGGGTAAGTACCACTAAATTTCGACGTAGTCTACAGGACTAAAACCCCAATGGCCTGGACAGCTCTCCGCGGAGCGCACGAGCGAGGTCTTGCCTCCTGACTGGGGACGCCTGTACGGGTTCCCCCCTTCCTCAAAACACAACGCTCTTAAGATCCCACACCCCCTGGGGTACTAGCAACAACCCTTGGGACCTTAGGTCCCCCAAGTTCCCAGTTCCACAGCTGGCTAGGAGTGTTTTGGCTTCCAAACAATTACATCACACCCACCCCCCCCTCTCACAAGGACGGCTGGACTAGCTTCACCACGCCTTGCCACAACTAATTTGTCATCATCACTTCCTCCTCCTGCAACGTACTTTTATCTATTCCATTATCAAAAAAGTACTCATACTAGTGCCTAGACCGCCTCGCTAGTGCACTAGAAAAGACCCATTTGCAGATCCCATCGTGCTGTCCCCTCAGCCGTATCGCACGTCCTCAGGAAACCCTCGGTGGGTTTCGCCGATCGTAAACCCATCCATCCATACACAACCAACAACGATCCGAGTGGATGTCAACAGACAGATCTTCAATAACCCACCTCCAGACCACATCGTCCGAGTGGATGTCAGATCTTCAATAACCCACCTCCAGATCACATCGTCTTGTCCTCACGGCCATGTGTGTCGATCTGAGTCGAAGCCAACAACAGATCTTCACTCGACCAACCTGCGAGGCTCAGCGAGGTTCCCAATCGCGCATCTGCTCTTCAATCGACGAATCAATCAATCAACCAATCCTGACCGACGAGACGAACGGTTTCTGCTTACGGACTCAAAGAGTTTTCTTCTTAGATCGCTTATTTTTACCCAGTCCGATTACACGGCGATGGCTTCATGCTGCAGCAGACGCTGCTTGCTCCCCAACCTTCGAGACCTTCGCCGTCACTTCCCTGGATCGTCCTCTCAAACGATCGAGAACTCTCTGCATCGCATCGCCGCCCGGGGGCATCGGACCCCGTTTGTAACGGTAGATCCACCACCCCGCCGCACCTGTCAAGCCACCCAACACTGGGGAGCACGAAACAACATGCGCACGTTGACGACAACACAATCCAAAAGGCACGTAAGTACATCGTTGTTTTTAGCGACCCGCACAAAATCAGGAAACGTTCATTTACTCAGCCAAAATCTCCTCCTCACCATATAATTTTCAACGTTTGTATGGTCTTGCTCCCTCACTTTCGAAGCATTCACTGCATCGGGTCAATCTCGATACCCTCAGATGCGCAAGCACAGCGCAAAGCAAAACAAACGTTGGCGACAACACAATCCAAAACGCACGTAATCAGGAAACGCACAAAATCAGGAAACGTTCATTTACTCTGCCACAATCTCCTCCTCACCATATAATGTAAAGTACATCGTATGTGTGGTCCCACTCACTCACTTCCGAAGCATACATTGCATCGGGTCAATCTCAATACCCTCAGATAGGCAAGCACAGCGCAAAGGAAAATAAACGTCAGAAACGGACAGGAAGGAGAAAACACAATGAACAGGAGTAGACCGCACACCCTGATACATTTGAGCCCCGTCATGAGATCGGGCCATCGCACCACTCGGGATTACAGTCTTCCCACCTCAACGACTCTCCCCGCCGCACTACCGTCTTCCCCCGAACATAACCCACCCTAAAAATGAATGTATACAAGCTATATTTCCGGTCAGATACAGCCAAAATGAGGGTGCGTTGCGTTCGGGGCAAGACGGTAGCTGATCAGACGCAATTCTGCGGGAGAATCAACCGTTCGACTCCGTGACGCAACCATTCGACACTGTCACTCTGCCGTTGGAAGCTCCGTTCCACAGCCGTTGGCTACCGTTAGCACCTACGTTCCGCAGCCGTTGGCTGTGTCATAAACCCGCCCGGCTGCAGGCGTCTAACAAACCCAGCCGGGGGCCAAGTCCCACTAGCAGCGTTGAGCTACCTCAACGCCTGAATCTGGACGCTTACGCCGAGCTGTGCAGAAATGGTGTCGAGTTTCCTGAGCTGCACGTCTCCAAAAGCACGTCCAGATTCAGGCGTTGAGGGCCGTCTGACAAACCCCGCACACGAGGGACGTCCCACCATAGCTCATCCACTCAACACGGCAAACAAGCTGACGTAATGGCGCGCCTTTGTTTGGTTCTCTTTCTTTCTTTTTTTTTTTTTTACTAAACATAGTTCCTTATATTGCTCAAGATCAGGCTTTCTTTTTTCTACTCGTGGGGAACGCGCGGCTTTGTGTAGGCTCCGTAATTCGTCGGCATAGAGCGGCTTTGTATCTGCTCCGTAGCACAACCCGTCGCAACGTCTATCAGGAATCAAGCTCTGTCACTCCGCACAAGGGACACATCGAGAAATAGCCCAACCACCAAAAAAAAAAAAAAACCCATCTACATGGTCTGTATACCCCTGCATCTTTGGTCTGTATACCCCTCCATCTTTTACTTTCTTTGCCTTTAGGCCTCCTGTTTTGGTAGGGCCCTTAGTAGGTAGTTTTAGTTTAGTAGCGGCATGGAAGCTCTCCCCGCGCGGGACTGGGCATTACCTTTCTTTTCTAGAGAAAACTACGGCGCAGTGAGGGTTTGACTTCGTAATAATCGCACTTGAGGCAAAAGTGCCGGTAATGCTGAATGTATATGACCTACGTTTCTGGTCGGGTGGGGTCGCGTGGGGTGGGTGTTGTATTCGCGGGATTGCCTGAATTGCAATTACAAACTGTTTTCGTGACTGCGCCGAAGTTAACCCTTTTTTCTATATGGAATGAATGCCCGAGGCAGCCTTGTCTGACCTGGAGCATACGATGGCAAGTACTCCTTTTTCCCTGCTCACGAATTCGTGTTTTTTTTTTTTTTTTTCAGTATTTTTTCGTGAGCATGTTCTACCAAAGCGAACTGGGGTAATGCTCCCTGACGAACTCTGAAGCCTATAGCTGGGCAATGGCCCGAGCACGTACTCCCATGTACCGGGTTGATTTGTGGGGTTTATTCCCGGGCCCCTGTTCTTGTCTTTCTGGAATGATAAGAGCTTCTCTATATATTTGTGTAAAAAAAAAAATTAAAAAAAATTGCCTTTTGAAGCTCAGCTCCGAGTTGTTTTTTTCTCTTCCAAGGCTATGTGCGACCCTCAATTTCACCTTTCACTATCTTCCTACCACTACTCTATAACTTCCTAAGCCTATACTTCCAGGGACCAAGTCACACCAGGAGCGTTGCGTTTCTTCAATGCCAGAATCTGGGCGTGTTTGACGAAATGTGCAGAAATGGCGTTCGGTTTCCTCCACCGCACCATCTCCACGAACACGTTCAGATTCAAGTTCTGAGTACTCAACCCTGTTAGTGGGACTTAACGATACCTTGAACCAGAAAACGTAAACGGAAAGGAATGGTGAAATTAGCAAAAGCGGTAATTGCAGGAATAGCCCCCGTTTTCGGAGGTTCGCAGCAGAAACGTCGTGATTAGCAGAAGGGGAAATTGCAGGAATAGCCCCCGTTTGCTGGGAAACTGCCGCGACGCGCTATTTTTGAAACTCACACTAAGCAAAAATTGAGCTGAGCCGAAAGGCGTCGTGGCTTGCTTACCTGTGAGGAGCAGCATGATGCCGCCCGTGGTGACGAAGAAGATGAGCGCCGGGATACCGACGAAAAGAAGCAGTGGGATCCAGAGCGGGGCGGTGCAGCAGCCTACGGCGCATGTGCAAGGAGACGTCACGAGAAGCAATAAGCCGCCAATGAGGAGCACGGGCAGGCCGAGAAGAAGCAGGCCCCCAAGCACAGCTCCCGCTACGGCCAAAGCCCCGCCAATGGCGCCCATCTTCCTCCAGCTCAAACGGCGGAGGCCTGGCATGTCAACCCAGGGCTTAGGTTCCGCCATATTTGACCGCGTCGACTGATTTCTCGCCTAATTAATAGCGGGGAGCGAGCAAGCAACTCTGCAAAGCGCCACCTTCCTTCCACTGAAGCCACCGTCAGCTGCCGAAAAGGCCACAGCAGGTACACAACAGCCGAGGTAACCAGTGAGTGACATCATCAGTCAGTCCAATTACCATATAAAATGAATGAGCCTCACAGCAGGTACACAACAGCCGAGGTAACCAGTGAGTGACATCATCAGTCAGTCCAATTACCATATAAAATGAATGAGCCTGGGCCCACCACTGACCAAATGCGCAAATTGAGAAAGAACCTTCCGCTAGAAAATATAGATTCATTGCCATATTCTTACGTTTTTTATACATGTCGATAGTGAAGCGTGGCAAACTGTCTGTCAGCCACATAGCAATCCAGCGCCGTTGATTCAGCGTTGCCTCATGAGTCACAACCACAACAACAACAACAACAACAACAACAACAACGATGACGACAAAAACAGATAGGCAACGTAGTCGGCCAAGAAGACAACACAGAGTCACAGACACAGCCGGAGGTTAAATGAAGCTCAATCTAAGCCACATAAGATGTTAACCGTGATGTGAAGCGGGAACCACATAAGATGTTAACCGTGATGTTAAGCGGGTGCCGTTAACAAAAGCTCACGACAGTACAACCCATCGGCTGGGTCGTCATTATTGTTCTGAGCTCTCTCTCTCTAATGCCCGAACCTGGTCACATTTGAGGCGAGATGCAAGGAATCAGGATAATTCGGCGGCTAACTCTCTCTAATGCCCGAACCTGGTCACATTTGAGGCGAGATGCAAGGAATCAGGATAATTCGGCGGCTCTCTCTCTCTAATGCCCGAACCTGGTCACATTTGAGGCGAGATGCAAGGAATCAGGATAATTCGGCGGCTGAATCCCCTCTCTCTCTCTCTCTCTCTCTCTCTCTCTCTCTCTCACACACACACACACACACACACACACACACACACACACACACACAGAGACAGGCATCATAGCACCCTAGTGACCAACCCTCAAGCTGAAAAATGGAAAACTACCGTCTCCCCGCAAACGCAATGCACACCGCCTCTCTCTCCCGGACACACACACACACACAGACAGGCATCATAGCACTCTCTCTCTCTCTCTCTCTCTCTCTCTCTCTCTCTCTCTCTCTCTCTCTCTCTCTCTCTCTC